GCTTTTAACCTTCTTAATCGATTATTAGTAGAATTGGGTGCCATCCCAGATCTGACTTCGAATCCGAGAATGAGAATCGGAAGAAAATGTCTGATAGATAAATTATTTAAATTGAGCTTACTCTCCGTGAGAATTCAAGGTTATTCCTTCGGCAACAGAATTGTATTAAGGCCACTGATCATTCATATCTCAATTTATCATTGTTTTCAATCTAGAATACACATAGCTCGGCTTTTTCGGCAGATCTAAAATTAATTATGTTTGAATAGTAGGTCTGACGTATGAGTGCTTACTGCAAGACAATCAAATTACCTACAACTGAATACACAGTTAAGATCACCTGCACAACTTCTGGTATAAAATACCAGAGGCAAAACATATGAGAGGTTTGATTAAAAATGAGCTACTTTCAGATATGTCCAAAGGGTTTTGAAAAATTATTAAAATGCTCTTTAATCTACTGGGCGAGTACGACTTCTAAGGAGTTTCAAGACCACGCAACAATGGGAAAAACACATTCCTTTCTCATTTATAGAGCATTTCACGTCTGATGTCGTAAATACTGATAAAGCGATAGGCATAGAATAGCTGTGAAAAGTGCAATAATAGTGTCTTTGTGGCTCGTCGGTGAGCAATCATAAGTGGAGGCCTTCGACCGAGAAAAAAAGCGTGCCGCTCGGCGACATTCGATCTTGAAACAGCTGCACAGTCATTCGAGAGCACGACAACGTTGTCGTGGATGTTTGCACTGGTGGAAGCTCCTTTCGGATGGTCTGCAGGCAAAAGTGGTCACCGATCTACAGTCTTCCCCATCTGTGCAGTTACTTTGAGTTTGCATCGCCGCTCATTGGCATGGGAATATGGCATGCAAGGGTTTGCGTGTTGCTTTTCACTCTTTCAAACCGTTTCATCGGTAATGAACTCTTTCTCCACTGGCCTATTGAAGAGCTTAAAGAGGTTGATCACACAAATGAAGTCAAATGAACGCCAATGTTTAACTGAAGACAAGGAGACCATTGAAAGGTACAATACCACTTGTAATTTTTAAAAGAAACGACGCTAAATCGCCCGATTCATGTGACATCACCGCCGCATTTCCATTCTCGCTTCAGAGTAACGAATTCTTAAACCAACAGCACCATTCGATTCAGCTTGGCGTGGCACATCTTCCGATATGTAGAAGTGCTTGCTTGAACACAGTAGGAGGCCAGATTCCACGAATCGTTTCAGTTTTTTGCTTACGTTGGGTTGCCCAGTAAGTGCAGTAAATGAGCACACTAACAAGGGAACGATACTTAATGTGCGTGGCCTTTTGAGACGAGATGTATACCATTACATTCGTCTTCGAACGCTGATTCCGAATCTGACTTCCTTTTCTGCTAGCCATTTCTCTGAAAGAAGCTATGGAGGAATATCGAGCCAATTCTGGCGGCCCAACGGTATGGTCATCGGAACACCTCTACCGCCCCCACGTTCTTGTCTAGTGGTTAGTCTGATACATAACTTGATGCAGGTGTAGGTTCAGATCCTTTTGTTTTTTTATTTTGCACTGCCTCAATTAAACTTTTTCGAGATTTACTCGAATTATGATCATTGGATACATTGTAGCGCAAATAGTAATCATTTTCTTCCAAATTTCCACATTTTTTTGAAGAGTGAGGGCGTTAACTTAGCACGAAGATGTGAAAAAGGTTTTTTGAGGCAATGGAAAACTGAAAAACACGAAGACGAACCTGCACCTGCATCAAATTATTAGCCTATCGCACTAATCACTACTAGACCACACCGCACAATTACCCATGGCGCTCCGAAAGCATTTCAGTGGGCAGCCTAGGCCCGCACAATCCTTTGTAACATCTTTGCAGCGATTAGCAGAAACGGATGTCAGATTCGGAATCAGGGTTCCAAGATGAGTGTAATGGTATACAACTCATCTCAAAAGGCCACGGACACCGAGTATCGTTTCCTTGTAAGTAGCATATCATAAGCAAAGATCTAAATTGAATACTGGAATTTGGCCTTCTACTGTGTTCAAACAAGCAGTCCTTTACACCAGAAGATGCGCCGCGTCGAGTTGAGTCAAATGCCCATGAATTACGAATTCCACATTGAAGCGAGACACGGTCACGCTACTGTGATGTCACAAGAATCGGGCGACTGTGCGTGGTTTTTTTTAATACAGGCGGTATTGTACCACTGAGCCTTGCAAGCGTCGCGAGCTTTCGGTGATCCTGTGATTCGTTACTTGTTAAAGAAGTTACGTATAAATACGTGGATATCACATAGTCCTTGCAAATTGATACAAACACATTGTGCCATAGGCATACAAAAGGAGAAAATAGGCTATTAACAATTGAAGCACCGACAACTCACGCAGGGAATGCTGAACTCAACGGTGTTGGATTCAACATTTGCACTTACAGCTCGAGGTAGAAAATGATTAAGCTGCGCAAATTTCGCGTCTAGTTCATACCATGATCTAGTTCGTCAAACCCAGTTGATAATACTCAACTCACATCAAACAATGCGATATTTGAAAAAAGTAGTAAGTTTCGGAGTATCTGGTTTACGTTTATATTTCTTGAAAATATCTCATGATTATCTTCTGCGCTTGAGTTTGCCGATACAGATTCGCTATACCAGTTGTCAAGACAATACGCTGATGTACACGATTTGGTTTCTGCGTTTTTTCTAACTATGCATGAGCTCTCAAAATCTTGCGGAAATGCCGGCAGGTCAAAGTGGTGCGGAAACGCTACGATTTTACAGCATTTTTATAGTGCTTCATGGAAAGTGCTGAGAAAGTCCCGGTTTTCAATCGCTTTGCCAATTTCTCGCGGAAACCCAGCATTTTGGAGCGTTCACTTTCTCAATGGTTAAGAAAGTGCCGCGGAACCGCTGCAAATTCCGCTTATCCTGCGGAATTTCCGGCAGATTGTCTTAGTATTTGTTAAGGTAATCGGCAGGACGCATGGATAAATAAACTTTAGGAACTGGAACTCTGTGTGTTAGAATTAGAAATCCACACATGAATGATACTCGATCCCTTCTGACGGCTGATAAAAAAACACGTTCATCAATCTAATCAATTTCCTTGCCCTTTCTAGCTTGATACTCAAGCCCTCCTGAATTTTCGACCATTGGCTTTGTTATAGACTCTTTGCAAGTTCAAATTTCCAGAAAGAAAGCAAATTAATAGAAAAAATCATGGGGTGGATTGCAAGAAGCAAGGAACCTTCGCTTTGTAATTTACGTGAAAAAAACCTGGCATCAGACCATTGCAATTCCTCGATTGCTTTTAGCAAGGTCGAGATAACATGGCCTAGCTTACCATTTTGAAGGTGTACTTTTTTCGTATGTTGTACTATGAGATAATGTGCAAACTATTTTTTCGTTTCTGAAGCCCTTGCTATAAAAGTTGAGGACCTTGCCAGAACAGCAGCATAAGGCAAGTAGAAAATGCATAGGAAGCACAAACAAAACTCTCCTCGGGAATCCTGCGGCTAAGTGAGAAGCAGAACAACTTCTTCTTATACTCTATTCTTGGAGCTTCCTCGCACGATTTGGACCATTTTTAATGAGCGTCAGTTCTAGGGGAGATATCTACCTAAACAACTATGCTCCAGAAATCATAAGCCTGACAAGTCACGGATGGTTTATGATTTATAGTTGTCAATTCGCTGGTGTAACAGGTCTGGTAGGCTTAAAGGCGGCGTCCGGGCAAAATTTCGCCTCTCATGTTTCTGCCATTCTGAGGCCTTTCCGTGGCCCTGATTACAGCTGTAAAGTCGAAATTGTTCAAAACTCCCAAAAAACGCGGTTCTGCGGGACCCTCCCTCTCTTCAAAAGGTGGACGAGTTTCGAATTGCTCGTCCCCATCCTCATGCCAGCGGGAGGAGCTGCAACTGCACGGATGCAGTTGCATTGCAGTGTGCAGTGCAACTGCAATGCAACTGCAATGCAACCGCACCCTGCGTAAGCACTCGTCCTCAGGGGTGGTTTGTGATACGAAGGGGCGGCTTGTGATACGTATCACAGGCCCGTATCTCCTTTTAGAGGGCACGTCAAAGGATTGGACCAACGCAGATCGGATACTCATGAGCCCCTCTTTACAACTATGTGATAATCTGGGTGGATGGATCTTGCCTGGACGCTGCCTTTAACCGCCTTCTAGTACTCTCAACACGGAACTAGACTTGAACTGAAGCGGATGTTTTATTATAATTCATTCTATGACTAGGAGACGCGAGACCGCATTGCATATATTGTTTAAAAAAGCTTATGCGTGTACCTAGCAGGTACTTGCCATTTATCCCGTCCAGTTTATTCACTCTTTGGACAGGGAAGAACAAACTCAAACGTGTTAAGACAATGCCCGCAATGCGGTCATGCGTCTCCTAGTCATAGAATGGATGATATTTTGTTTATTACTGTTCATGTTCTCAGTTTCACTCTTTGTTATATGGCACACATTCTGCATATAGAGTAAATAAATACTTAAATCAATTTGCGATGCAGGTATGTCATGTATTCTTCAACCATCGAAAAAATTTCCTATTTCTTTCCTTTGAATCCATTTCATTGTGCAGTATCGATGCAGAAATTACAATCAAAATCGTAATCACAATCTAATTTAGGACATCTTTTAAGAGCTTTATGTTGCGCAGTATAGTCCAACAGCAACTTTTGCAGATCATGTAAATGTTCATGGTTTTTACTAACTAATACAACATTTTTTGTGCGCTAAAATTTTGCAATGCATAAAATCGGCAATTATAGTTCTGCAACTTCTAGGTAAATTTTTTTCTCATGTGCATTATTGTAGATGACTTCTTCTCCAGTGCAGTGCTGCTGCCGTGCCTAAGCCGTTGCAAACGGGGAGAAGGAATGTGGGGTAGCATCTCAAGAAGGTGCAAAAGATTTTGAGACTATACAATCACTTTATCCCTGATTGTGGGGCTTCGCTCCATCTGGTTGAATTAGAGGTAATATTGCAAACTTTATTGATTTGTTAATCTTCGCTTATTGAGTAGCGAACTACTCACAAAATAGCAACACATCTTCAAACTGAAGTTCTCTTGATCCCGATCACAAGCACATCCGACGAATAATTCCTTAGCTTCTACCTGAAAAATAATGTTACAGATCACATGAGCAGTGCATTAAAAACATTTCGTGGTGGATCGTAAGGACTTATTATTTTATTTTCTTGAAAAAAGAGATGTCGAAAAATTATTCCTCAAAAGCATAATTCTTCACAGAGGATTCTGGCATGAACTTTGTTCATTAAAAATGTGGAGCACAAGAATATCACTGCGTACTCTGAATTGTATCGTAGGTTTCGGCTTTTTATTTCTAAATTGAAGTAATTGTCAACAGGAAAGCAAAGCTTCATGCCATCTTCTTACCTCCTCTAAATCTTTTGCCCATTTTTGGCCGACGTTTTCCAAAAATTTAGTTCCATCCGCGCTTCTGTAAATAACAAAAACTTCTGCGCACAAGAAAAAAAATTGAACACGCTTACTTATAATGCTCTTCGTAGTGAACAAAAACGGCTACACCGAACATAACTGTCTTGTAGCTACGGTTACTAATATTCAGGAAGTATTCAGCTTTATGTCGGATAGTGCGTTTATACTTCTAAAAGCAAAAATGTATCTTCAAAACTGATAAGTCAGCATAGTGTTTGGTGTCAGTTTTGTCTCAAGATGTATCAAAAGCAGCTATTGTAACCCGCCTTCGCCAAATGCACGACTTACTAGGAAGGATTCTTGGTCGAATTGGCTCCAGATGATATGCACATAGTTTTGAAGGCATCGAACACTAATTCCAAATCTGTACTCACTGCGGAGGCCTCTGGGTAAGAAGTTATGAAAGTTTTTGTGACAAAAATTCGAAAGAGTGAGAAGCAAATCATCCACAGAAGTCCCCTATGAGCTCAAATGTAGCAGCGATACCTGCCAAACAACTCTTTGCATAGAATAAATCATGTCTGCTATACTCATACTGTACACTATTGCCGCTGCGAGTTGTGCTAGCTGCTACAATCGATACTGTCCTTTGATTTTTTGGCTCGTTTGAAATGCTCATAACTCCTCATTTAGAGGGCTCCGCAGATCAGGAATGATATCCACGAAAGTCCCCGCGAAATGGGCTTTTCGTGCGAATAAAATGAACTTAGTCCATGCGGTGCGATAAGATATCGCATTCGCGAATCCATTCATTCCATACAAAATTTTCTCACTAAACCTTTCTCCAACTTGTCTTAACCTGTTCACTCACTCTTGCAAACTCATCTCCATCAAGTGGTCGATATCTGACTAGGCTGACCTAACATTACAATATTAGTCAAGTGGATATTATATTCTTTCTCACTTCGTTACAACTCACAAAATGCCATTTATTATCGATGGCTATGCGTCTAAATTACTTCCAAAACGAAAATTCATGCGATATCCGGGCCTTCGCTTTTCATAACTTCTACGAATCTGCATTAAATCAAATTCATATATAGAGCTTTCTGCAGAAAGCAAACTTTGGCTAGACTTGTACTGCAATCTGTGAATCAAAATGCTTATCTCTTAGGAAGCCTTGCACTACACACAACACAAAGTTTTTTGAGTCGGAAAAACTACGAATCTGCAAGAGATGATTTCGCAAATTTTCTACTTTAGCCCTTCTTTGTCTCTCAACGTAATGTATGTCTAAGTAGTTGAATGCATGGACTATTGTTGGTAGGAGATTCTTCACAGAATTTATCTTGCTAGCTAGCGCCATGTCAGTAATTCTTGCGACCAAACTCAAAATCGCGCTTGAAATGCCATCTTTGGGGTTCGGTTCTGCGAGGTCAGACAAAGATGGCTTGTGAGTAATTATATCAAAAGGCAAATCTTTGAGTACAAATCATGAATTTAGTTTTGGTTGATGAGTTGAAGAGTTTACAAACTTTGATTTAAATAGGAATTTTCGAGTCGACTTGATATTTGGAGGCATATGAGTTTGTCAGCGAATATTTTGGTGAACTCAGCCTAATTCCATGATTTTTATAACGTTTGTATGAGTTTAGAAAGAAGCACTTGTTTCAGACTTCATAAAAGACATAAAACTTTTTCCACCCACTTGTTACCTCAGAATAGGTTGATGAACACATTATCAAAAAATCGCCATCAAAAATATGCAAAAAGGTCAAAAATGGGCTTAGTCCCAGCCCATCTTGCTGCTGGGAGTAAAATGGGCTTTCAAGTCCATTTGAAATGGAGATAAATCCCATTTTGCCCGATTCTAAATGGACTTTTGACGTCATCTTTCGCAAGCGAGAGCTCAGGTAAGGTTGAATCATTTTCATTTCACCGCTTTGCCTCGTGGTTGCGATGGGATGAAAATTTTTGGATAACGCGAGCGAAAGCAGATTCCGACCACTCTTCACCGCGAACGAATAAAATGGGGTTTGAAAGTCCATTTTCCTCCATTATGGACTTTCGTGGATATCATTCCTGGAGAGAATATTCGGAATCAGCGTTTGACGCCCTTGAGAAATGTTTGCAGATCATCTCACAAGGAAAGGACCCTCAGTTGAAGTGGGGTTTCCACACGTGAAGCATTTTATTCTGTTGGTCTTGGGGCACTAATGCCAGTTCCGTGCTCCTTAGCTGCTCAATGATCTTCAGGGAAAAGTTATGTAAAGTTCTGCACGATGACCACTGCACATTATAAGTCTGGGGCGCCATCGAATGGACAGGTGTAGACCAGTGGCGTACCCAGGATTTTGGCTCGGTGGGGAGGGCGACAAAGAATTTTTTCCGATGAAGGGGCGTGGCGTCAGCCACGCACCCGAAAATTTTTTTTGTAAGAAAATGATTTTTTTTTTCAGATTTTAAAAATTAATCTAATCATTTACAAGTGCAGACAAGTCATTTGCACAATTTTATAACCCATGTAAGTAACTTCCAAAAATTTCGCGACCTGTTCTTGGGGGGGGGGGTGCCCCCGCCCCCCCCCCCCCCTCGGTACGCCACCGGTGTAGACGGTTGAGCGGGTGGATGAATAGCTGCGGAGACTATGGCGCAGGTAATGAAGAGTTCGTGCTCCTCATGGGCCAAACTTTGCATTTTAATTGTATTCTATGAATTCGGAGGCGATTTTCGACGAGAGTCTGTTTGCTCGAAAACTGTATGCGAGATCGCAAAGTACAATTTGCAAGATTGCAAAGTTTGGCCCCGTGGGGAACGCTAACTCTTCACCACCTGCGTCAAAGTCTCAACGGCTATTCACCCGCCCATCCTTCCACACCTGTACATTCCTTGGGGTTATTTCAGACTGCCGCACTGACCGCAGCAGACTGCAGCAGACTGCAGCTGACCGCACTGACCGCACAGATCGCTGCATCCTTTCGTAAAAGGAAAACACCGATTACGTCAAAACATCATGATTTACGCCTAGGAAGTTCATAGATTCTAACTTACCCTTCTCATTCAAATTTCAGCAATTGTTTTTTTTTGGTATGCTCATATTTGTTCTGACTCCTCCTGCTATTGCATATACCTTTCTACTCTCGCTCGTGTTGTCTTTTGGGGCTAAATATATATTGTTTTGATTGTTTGGGCTACAACTATTTATCCTCTCCATTTTTAAGAAAGGATGCAGTGATCTGTGCGGCCGTGCGGTCATTGTCGTCAGCTGCAGTCAGCTGCAGTCTGCTGCGTTCAGTACGGCAGTCTGAAACAACCCTCAGCGCCCCAGACTTATAAAGTGCAGTGATCATCGTGGCGAACCGTAGCTCATAACTTCTCACAGAAGAGCAATGAGCAGCTAAGGAACAGGATCTGGTATAAGTGCTCCGAGACCAGCAGAATGATATGCATCACGTGTGCAAACCCCATTTTGACTGAGGGTCCTTCCCTTGTTAGAAGGCCACGTCGACTAATGATCCTTTCCCTGTTAGAAAAGTCCCAAAACAAACTTACCAGATTCTTTCCAGTCAGATTGCGGAGAACTGATCTAATCTGCCTATGAGGAAGATCCCACTTTGCTTTGCATGAGCTAGGCATTCTCGATAAAGATAAAGTAATCACTACCTGAACAATATAGTATAGTACTAGACAGGAAATGAATTGAATGAGTTCTCACATTAATGACGATCAAAAAGCGTAATCCGCATATCATGGTGGAGGTTTCGTCCTAAGTGGAACCGTATGTTATCCAAACGATCCTGAAAAAAATGCGGACTGATATTTGCACAGATATTCATGTAGCTGCAAATTCCAGCAAATATAAAGTTAGTACGTTTGACCTTATCCAAAGCCAACAATGAACCGAAATTCGTTTAGTAGCCGCGACCGCCCTCTCCTTATTTCCACATTAAGTGCGTTTAGTACTGATAACATCAACAACATCACTGTAAGCGCACCATGAATGGAGTGGCTGGTGTTCATCACCGAAAGAACCAATGGTTGATCCTTTTCCCTTGCCATTTTCATGCGTTAAGAACTGCAGTGTACATAGTATTTAGGAAAGTCCGAGTTTTTCGAATATTCGAATATCGAAGGATATTCGAAAACGGAAATCGAAATCTAGAATGTCGAGTAGTATTCGAGAAACAAAAATTCCGAATATTCGACTGAAAAATTTCGATTATGCGACTGTCGAATAAATCGAGAATGGAACTTTTCGAGTATTTGACTTTCTAATAATATTCGAATAATTATTCAATTTTTGATAATCGAGTAAATTGTATGTCAATGAGATGATTGCCTATGAAAGACCAAAACATCCAACAATAGGTTGTTTCATTTGATGTTACAAGTTATAGTGAAGAAAAGGCTCGGTGGTAACATTAACAGACTGGCGACCTAAAAGCCTCCCCTATGACCGTTGAAGCGATTTTAAGAACTCAGAGAAGATTATCGTCCCAAATTGTGGCGTCCCGTAGTGAAATCGAGCAACTGCTGCGACATATAAAGGCGGTCTTGCATACTGTTCACTTACTGCACGGGTGCCTCAAACATATCATTTGATTCAACGGGCTTGGCATCGGCAAAGGCGGGGCTTCGTGACCTAATTAAGGCTAGGTAATGATCAGAGAGCACTCGCGCGAGAGAGACGCAGGTGCGCCGCGGGCGCGAGCGGCCTCAATTAGATCACAAAACCCCGCCCTAATGGTGCCAAGCCAGTTGAATCAAATGTTATATACTCTCCATGAAGGGCTGTGGAATGGCCCACAAAGTCCTTTGCCGGACTTTAGATACCATACAGGATGTACGTAGCGACTCCTCATCTCTCTCCAATGTTGTAGCATTACCGTAGGATAACTGAAAAGGATTTTGAGACATTGACAACCGTATTTTGCCTAAGAAAATACTAAAATTTGCATTTGAATGTAATGTTTTTTTTTCACAGGTTATGCCAAGTACACCGCAACAAATATTTTCTCAATGCTTCTCAGGAGCTATTACCCTTTAGAAAACTTGACTGACTAGTGAAAGCTGCTTATTCTTAGTACTACAATCGCGTAAAAGCTCTGCCACACAAATTTTTAGAGTTTTTCCGGAGAAGTTTTTCCAAAGTTTTTCTGTCTTATTTCGCAGCTGCACTATTTGCTGGGAGTTCCTACCGTAATCTCGGACAAAAAATATGAGTGAACCTCTTTCTCTTGTCCGCATATGCTATGGATATCGAAGTTTTGAATGTCAATCAATGAATGCTCATCGAACCTTCGAATACTCGGAGAATATTCGAAAGTTCTTTGAAGATTCGATTTTCGAATAAAATTCAAGAATGAAATTTTGAACAATCGACTAGAAAATTATTCAAAATTTCAGATTTTCGCTTACTCAAGTTTTGGAATCACTCGCATTCGAATGATTCATTAGAACAATTTAATAATCATTCAATTAGGTCCAAAGTATACTACATCTGTAGCATTATTCCTGACTTTGGAATGACCATCTTGCCATGCTTACATGACATGAGCTTGACTCAGTTATAAGATGGCAGTGTGCATCATATCCTTCCTTTCGTAATCGACTATAAGACGTAAATTACTGTCTTAGCTAGTAGTGTGCAAATTTTGGTGGCGAACATTTCTTTAAAGATACAAGCATCATAGTCAGTTAGAAAACATGCATATGTACCTACACGTGGCGCAAATTTACAAACTATGCATTTGGTAAACTGCGAATTTTAGCTATATCATCTTTCTTCAATCACACTATTATCACTTATCATCTATGCTTAAACATATGTGCAAATCTGAATCTGACTCATTGGATCTTAGTAGCCGCACGATGAATAAGGATATTTTTGCTCAGATGGGTCTAAGTATAAATATTATGAATAAAAATTAGATTCAAATTGATGAATATTCTCAAAATCATTAGCAAAAGCAGACCTAAGTATTAGGTTGTCCCAAAAGTAAACACCTTTTTCAAATAATTCTAAGCTGTTTTTGTTTTCCTAGTAAACTTAGGGTATCATTCGATAGAGCCAATCCTCTACAAAACGATCACCAAGGATTCGCCCAACTCGCATTCCATGGAAAGTTTGAACCCAAAATCGGAAAAAATTTTGTCACCTGAAAATTGGATTTCTGCGATAAAGAATCCTACAGCCTCCAACTTGGTCATTATATTAGGTTGTGTAATAAGTTCTGTCCCATTTTTTCTTTCGATTCTTTCTCAATATTTTGCGCGATGTTCTGTAAATTTTTTATATGCATTTGAAAGCTCTAAGCCTTCTCTACTAAGACTCTCATTTCTGTTTTCTCCATCAGATGACTGAAGAAAGTTTTACAGCGTCAAATTTGGAAAATCAGACAGGGAAAAAATCCATTTTCGACAGCTACGTTACGTCGCCTTCCTAATTAGTCAGAATGCCTACGAATGAGCTCGAAGAATTTGCTACACGTAAGCAAAGAATGCTCTAGCTTCTACTGCACTTCAAGAGTGCTGAAACTTTTCAAAAATCATTTCTGTAAACTTTAGAAAACTCTTCTTTTTAAAGCCTTTTCAAAGTTGGTGTTGGGCATCATCTGAAGGCATCCTGAGGGAAGACGGTAGGCGGATCATCCAGAAAAGAAAGAAGGGATGGTTTGTGGCTTCAAAATTATCGAATTCGTGGGTTAGGTTCTTAAAATTCGGATTTTGGAAGCAACACAGCTTGAATACGCGAGACGGCGAACATCGCCGTGACAAAGTCTTGCCTTGCCGACTTCAAAAAAATGTCATTGAATAGCCGATGGAAGGAAGGGAACATGCGAAAACAGTGATAGAATAAGTGTAAAATTCTAATAGATTGTTTTGGTTGTTGTCAGGCTTGTTTCATAAGTTTTACCAATAAAAATCGAGAAAAATTTGGAGGAAAAAAGATGTCGAAATTTGATTTTTCGGCTCTTTGGTTTTTTTGTTTCAATCATAAAAATCTTTTTCAGTTTCCTGCTATGTTGGGGAATGATGCATATGAGTCTGTAGAGCAGACGTAGAGCTTACAAAAGCATATACATTTTATCTCAAATATAATCAATGTTGGCAAGAAAAAACTAAAACAAAAAATGGGACAGAACTTATTACACGACCTAATACATTAGGCACATAGTAGTACTCAACAGTGGCGTACCCAGGTTCGGCTCGGGGGGGGGGGGGGCGACAAAAATTCTTTTAACGAAGGTACATGGCGTTAGCACGCACTCCGAAAAATTTTTTGGGATGTTTCCCAAAATTTTTCCGGGCCCCTGTCCCCAGCCACGCCCGAAAAATTTTTTTTACAAGGCTAATTTGAATTTTCAAATATTTTTAAAAATTTTTTTCAATTATTTACAAGTAAATACCAGTCCTCTGCACATTTTTATAACACATTTAAGTAACTTTTAAAAAATTTGCGACTCATTCTCGGATGGGGCGCGCCCCTCCCCCCCTCCCACGCCCCCCTCGGTACGCCACTGCTACTCAAATATGCCTTCACCGAATTTTTTCCGAGCATAGAAAGCGAGAAACAAAAAATGTCCAAAAATGGCAAACTCCGCCCCAGCCCCTTCCACATATGTCTTTGTATACTACAAGCCTTATTAAGTAAAAACTTAGAATTTCACCCCTGCATGTGCACTTATAATCGAGAAATAGGTTTACACAAAAAAAAACCGAAAAAAGCGGTATTTTGGCACCTTGTGACTACCTTTATTTTCAATTTTGAGCTCCGAAAAAAATCCACCAGATACATCTTTGGGTACTACTATGTATTATACAAAGACCAAGTTGAAAGTCCGCAGGAATTCTCTGGAAAGAGATCCGATTTTTATGGTAGCTGAAAAATCCTGATTTTTGGCCCCAAATTTTATCTGGATTACGACTTAGGTGGATCTTTGGTGGTCTTTGTAGAGCCTTCGCTCTATCGAATGATACCTTAAGTCCCTTAGGAGTACAAGAACAGCTTAATTTATTTGAAAATGGAGTTTACTTTTGAGACAACCTAATAGCTTTCCTGCTGAAAGAAAACTGCTTACGAACAGTGAAGGCCACTCATGAAACTGATTAGCGAAGTTTGCTCGATATTCTCAAGGGTTTTTACCATAAAATGTCACTGTTGAAATTAAATTGTATATTCACGATGATCCACGCCAGTATTATAATCTAGAAAATACTTTCAAGCATCTGCCAAAGCGATGGTTTTTTTAATCGCGATAGATACAATCTCGATTTGGATATGCTACTGCTATGCAGCTGTGATTTAATTGTGCAAGTGGCTTCCCTTTACTTGCGAAATCAAATAATTTTCTATGGTATGAGTTTAGCTAAACTTGGCAAAATTTTCTTGAGGCTGCTGAAAATAATTTCGAAGTCACCCTCACTAAAAACTTAAGAAGCATCCCAAGAAGTTTCAAAGGCTGTAGTTAGTTTTGGTCATGTGTTCGAAAAAATGAGACTATCAGCTTCTTGTATCTAGTGCTGCTCAGAATGATGGTTACTTGAGTGCATGGCTCTATGTATCGAGGGTATGCAGGGTATGCTGGCAATTAACCCTTATTTTGCGATTTCCCATAACCACATGGAAAGTACTGAGCGCCTCAGGCATTTCATGGGCTGCTTTCCAACTTGCTCTGAATGAGAACTTTTGCTTTAAAAACCTCTGTGAAAAGTTGTGATTATCGAAAAAAAGTAAAAAATCAAATTTGG